CACCTCCTAAAGCACCGATTTAGGCACTTCGCACCGCAACTGCATTGGCAAACGTTGTTTCCGCGCCAGCACCAATTGTTTATTATCTGTAGCGACTGCCTCATCGCCGTCCTGTAGGACCTCTTTCAACATATTTTTTTTACGTTCAACCTCACCTCGCAAAAATCGCCACAGTTTTGATGGCACAATGGCACAACTCCAAGATATTTGGCTTTGACCAATGCTATTTCTCGAAGAGGATGATTTCTTCGAGAAACCGTGAGATGGGAACCTTACTTTTAAAACGTTTCTAACGTGACATTTTTTATTTTCTGCACTCAATTCTTACTTCCCAGGGAACTAGGAGGACATGGAGTCCTGTTACGCAGAATGCACGTGCATTGTTCAGATTATTCTTACTTTCGGTGTGTCCGAACTTAGGTCAAGAAATGTATGAGAAACTTAAGTTCGGACATATATTCACTAGTATCATATCCTCGTAAATATGATGTCCTCTTGAGATGAATAACATTTAAAGTTGACAAAAGTTCAGTTGCGGCATGTTTTTCAGAGAAAATGTACCTTGGGGCTCTGTCCGAACTTTCATAAAAGGACATGTAACTTCGGACACCGAAGCACATGCGCAAAAAGTACAGCATCATATATTTCTTTGCACATCTAAGTGTGCGACGTGCCTCCAAAGCAGTGCAATCATGGTAGGAGGGTGGAATGCAAGGGATTATCGATCCGAGGCTGTTGAAAAGGCCATCAGGGATATATTTCGGGTGAGATGTCTTTCCGGAAGGCGAACATTGCTAACGATGAACACATCCGCAAGATAAATTTTCTTCTAGGATCCTCCAAATTTGGAGGGAAAATATGTCCCTAAAGTTGAATGTTTTCTGATTTAAGCATACAGAGAACTACTTGTCTACTGAATGTAACGAACTGTGCTCGATCTGCTTTTAAAAAAAAAGAAACTCGAAAACATGACCTTAATGAAGAGTGTGCACCTAAAGGATTTACCACGATAGGATGTTTCCAGAAATGAGTGACTGGAGAGCAACCAGCGTACCAAATTACAGGTTTCTATGTCCACCGACGCCCGATTCAACGAAGCAAAACAAATTTAAAAATATGGCATCCTCAAATTTACCCTTAGAATATGAATCCCAAAAGGTGAATTTTCTCTTGTGTCTACATGCCAGCAGGTACCTATTAAGTGAGGTTTCAGCCTTCTGTCTCCATGATTTCCTGGAAGGAAATAATTTTTTTTTAAAAAGGTCAACCCGAAAAATATGTCCCTGGGAACGAATCCTAAAAGTAGCTTCTTCCCACCTGAATTCTGCATCTCAATAGGTACCAATGCATCAAATTTCAGCTTCTGTCTCTTAGAAATAGTACCTGAAATCCGCACCATCAATGTCATTCGTGTATGAAGTTGGAACTTTCGATCTCATCTAGATTATGGTTCGAATTATAGTCAATCGCTCTCTCACTCAATCACGATCGTCTTATTCTATTAAGAAAAAAAGAAAAGATCCAATACTTTGGGAGAGAGTTATTATTCTTTTGCACCAAAATGGAGCCTCATTCAAGCCTTATTTGAGTCTTTAAAAAGGGGGTGTCCGAACTAAGATGAAAGTGTCTGAACTTAATTTTTTCCGCATCTAAGTACGGACACACATTATCGGCGGTATCGGTTGTCATGAGACTAGGAAGGACAACATCTTTGCTGCACTCATACCTCATCGTGTCCTGCTCCCGGGAGCAAAAAAAATGAGGCTTCCCGTTGAGGTAGGACGAGCGAATGATGCGACCAGGGAGGCTTAACTATCCGAACATTGGTGGTTTTACCCCATTTTTCACAGATGTTTCACATATGTTTGTTGGAATTGACAAATGTTGCAGTTCGAATCCTTACCAAGGTCCTGAGGGAAACAGTTTTTCAAGAAGTAGGTTACTTTTTAAAATGAAATTTTATACTTTTAGCGATTTTTGTGATCTAATTACTTATTCAATGGTATTAAAAAGTGCTAAAGGAATGGGTAAATGAAAAAAGCTACTGTCATTTCTTGGAGGAATATGCAATCTGCTCGATGTTATGAATCTGCACGAGTTGAAGAATGATTGTATCCAAATTTAGTTTTAAAAAATGTTTCCCCCAAAAATGACGATTCTAAAGTAGGATTGCCACCTTAAACTTATGTTTCCGGACTATGATTCATCGTCAAGTATGTTGCAAGAGGGAACTTTCCGATATTGAAAATTTCGAAGATTAACAATTTTTATGAATTTGTTTTCATTACATTTTCATTTGTTTTCTAACGTAAATAATGAAATAGAAAATGAAAATGTTGAGAAACAAAAGAGAAAATGAGGGCTCGAAGTTCCGAAAACTAATTACTTTATTTAGCAGGATTTATTTATTCATTTGTAATATCTTAATCAATATTAAGTATATTTTGATATTTTACATTTCTGAATTGGGCATCCTGAGTTTCTAAAGCTACATCAAATATAATAACCTAAATGGAAAATTTTTCCACAATTGATCATGATTTGCGTATAAAAAGGTTTAACACTTCATACCATGAGGTGCTAAAATTAGAAATAAAATACTAAGAATTCATTAGTTATAAGTTATGATATTAACCAATTTTCCTGCGAGAATATGCATTTGTTCTTCATAAAATTGTATCCGATATCATATTTCCAAGGATAATGATTGTGCCTAGAATAAAGAAAAGTAGCTTTTGCATTAAATTGTAGAAGACCTGTGAAATTACTATGCATTATATGAATACAGTAAAATGTCATATATCACTGAGCACAAGCTTCATCGAGTGAAAGCCAAGAAATTGTAACCGTCCTTTGACCTATATTCAGCTGGTAAAGAAGGTGAAGCAGCTGGAAGAACGGCTGGAGAACACATCGAAGACATTGGCAGGGGAGAGAGGGTTAAAAACGAAGTTTGAAGCTAAAAGGAAAGAATTTGAAAAGGAACTCAAAAAGGAACAGTCTGATCGTGAAGAGATGGAGCGAATTAAGCAAAAAATAGAGACAGAGCTCGGTAAAACCAAAGCTGAGGTGTCTTTTTACATTCATTACCACATTCTCTTTCGCCAAAAATATTGTATTTCTCAAATGAAGTTAAATTGAGGATTTACTCATGATTACAGGTAGAAGAGATGAAACGGAAGCTGCAGGAACAGATGAATGCACTATCTGAGGAAAAGGCAAAGCATGAAACAAGAAATATAGAACTTGGTTAGTTCTTCAAGCAACAGCAATCGGTACGTCAGGAGACAGCGAATACAGCTAAATATTGAAACAGATCACAAGGAAACCAAAAGCTCCAGTCTCACATTTCATCCCACTAACCAAGAACACTGTACAGGGTGTTCGGAAAATAAAGGTTCGAAAATAACTTGACAAAACTTCATTATTTATTACAGTAGAACATGAGGCAAAGGGTGGTACAATCAGCGTCTCTCCAATTTCAAGGAACTTCCTCATGCCGATCATAATTTGTTATATGATGCAATCGTCGCTCGATCTCGATAATAGCGCTTTGAAGGGTTTGTTATTGGATGCCTTCACTAATATCAGCGACGCTCTGGCTGAGTTCACCGACTTTTTCTAGTATGTTATGGCACACAGAGCTCTTAACTTGACCCCACACATAAAAGACCCTGAGCACAAGGTCAGTGGGTGCCCCTTGCAGAATGTCCACAACGACCTATGGGGAACGTTGCTTTGAAGAAGTTGCAAACAATAAGGGCTAAGTGATTAGGGGCCAATTCTCGTCGAAAGATTCTTTTTATTTTCAATTACTTCCTGCCGATCATGCAGATATGTCCCCTTCTTCAATTGGAAGTTATGGAGGATCTGGTATGGAGAGAAACCGTTCAACTAGATCGGCCCCCCCCCCCTCATTTTGACCTTGTTGGTAACATCCTGAATGCAACGCTACTCATAGATAGTGGTGAACCATCAGCACGGCCACTTCGGTCACCTGACCTTACGCCCATGAAATTTTATATTTGGGGAAACATAAAGACCCCTCTAAACCAGAACATCCTGACAATGTCCATGAACTCGACCAGAGAATCACAGATAATCTCGAAATCATTCTGCAACACCCTCAATACAGTATTTTCGAGTTCAAGTCATGAATACATTTGTGAATGACGACTGTCATGAGGAAGCTTATCAAATTTTGAGAGTTCTAGATTGTACCACTCTTTACCTTTTGTTTCTACTGATAATGATGAAGTTATGTGAAGTCATCTTTGCTTTTTTCGGACAACCTGTACATGACCTCTGCACCTCTCCCCTTTTTTTTTTACAAAGGTTAGTAAGTAAGTTACAAATTAACACAAACAAAAAGAAACACATATCAGACTATGGAAGTAATGTTTATTTCTCAACATAATCTCCCTATTCATCGAAGCACTCGTTCCATCTCCTTACCAACCCCTGGAAACCCGCTGCGTAAAAAGACGTGGGTTGATGTAACCATTGACGTACTTCATTTTCAACCGCTGCATTATCCACAAAGCGTCAGCCACCAAGTGCATTTTTCAGCGGACCAAACAGGTGAAAATCACTCTGGGCCAGTTCTGGGCTATTGGGAGGATGTGGAAGAACTTCCCAACCGAAAGCTTCAATGTTCTTATGTTTCTTTTTTGTGCGTTAATTTCTAACTTACTGACTAACCCTCCTACTTAATCCCTTCCAATAAAAAAGAAACTCATAAAATGAGGAGAATTATTTTAATTTTGAATTAAGGTTGGATTTTTTTATGTTCCCCAATTTTGATCCAAAATAAATCCATTGGACATACCCTCATGCAAAATTGGACGTCCAATTTATATTCTCCTTGGAGATCCCCTGGATGACTAAATGTCTCGTACAAGGAAAATTCTTGAACATGTCCATTGGATGTCCGTCTCTGGTTCCACTGTTTCCCTTGGGGAAAGCTTATGGATGGCCATTGAGGGATGCAGCGATAGTAATCCCCAGGTAGCTATGGTGCTTAAATTTGCTTGCTCATATTCATGCTAATATTCATGGTTTAGGAAATGAGCATTTTCTGCTTACTGACAATCTCGCCCTCTCACGTTCCTTGAAGGAACAATAAAAGGAGTGTTTGGGATGGAAAGTGAAGTATCATTGAGATAAATCTCTCCTCATCCCGTTTTTATCTCTCAAGCAAGACATTGTTTTCCCTGTCTCTTTAGGCGTCATGATCATATGGAACAGAGTTACTTCAAAAGGGGAATTACACTCTCACCATACAATATGCAAGAATTGTCAGGAGTCTCCTTGAGCTATGTCACGTCTCTCAACAAATAACTTAATTAGAATGACTCCATTCCTTAGGCTTGTACGTAGGAAATTATCGAGTAGAGGATGAAAGCTGACGCAGAACAATTTTTTTTAGCATTTTTGGAATCGGGAGACGGGATGCGTGGCGGGATAAGCGCGACCTTGCTTATATTATGGAAACTTTGTATTCTTGGAATGTCAGGCTAGATGTCAGGTCAGATGACAGGCCTCAACGTAGCGGGGATTCATTCCAAGGACATCCAATGGAAGACCAAAATAAGTTGTCCTTGGAGGTTCCATTGCTGGATGTCCAATGAATGCCCAAAGAAGGACTGACGCATCGTTTCGTTCGTATTGTCGAAATATAAATGAAATCATGCACTGGTCCAACTACTATGTCACACTATATATTGATTGAAGTTATTGGGTTGATACCTAGGATGGGAGAATAGAAGGAAAAATAAAGATCAAAATAAATCCCATGATCGTATCCTCGTAACGCCAATCCATAAAACCTTCATTTAATAAGATGGAAATAATTGAGTGCTGGATGTATGGAAATTTTGCTCGAATAAAACTCAGAATGCATGAGAATATATCGATCCATGGCGATGGCATCCTATGTACATCCAACGGACGACCTCCTCTAGACTTATATCCATCTCTTGACAACTGGACTGTCCATGGACGAGTTTTGGATCACCCATGGCTACTTGGATCTAGTAAATTTAGATATATTATTGAGGATGTAAAGTCGACTCATTATACCCGAAATGGGAAAGTGGGTTAAGAAAAGGGGAAAATCGGTGGAAAATGTTTTTCATTCTTCATAAATTAGTCAGACATGAGACGTTGCAGGTAGCTGAAATGCGGGAAAAACTGGAGAAAATGTGGAAGACTCTTGCCGAAAAGGAGGAACTGAGGGCAAGGCATGAGGATCGTAGCAAAGATCTATGGATGAATCTCCAGAGGGAGCTGACCATACGTCAAGGGGTAGAGCGAAGCAAACAACAAATCGAGAGAAAGGTCAGCCAAATGAAAGTTCAGGTGTCTTATTCCATCCATCTGCCAGAAAAAGTATACACGTATTAACAAAAAAAAAACAAGAATGATAGCATTTTAGGATGTGGATAATTTCCCGCCTGAGCCGTTTGAAACTCATTTGCCTCCCTATTGGAATAATGGCGACGGTATATTCATTTTTTTAAATATTTTGTCTGAGACCCAGAGAGACCTAAATTGACCAATCGACACCAAGGTGGGCCAAATTATTTGTATGAACCCTGTGGCGAGAAGGTGAAACGAATTTCTTCAAAATTGCCATGACATTTTCCTATCAGGTTAAGCAGTCTAAGTAGGAAATCAATTAACTGTAGATCCACGCCAGAATTATTTTAGGATTTCAAGATACCGTGGAACAACGGAATATATTGGGTTGGAAAGAAAGTCTTGCAACACTCTGCGCAAATATTCCAAAATTTTTAAGATTTATTGAAATACAATTTCAGTCTACTATGTAATGCCCATTGTTGTCTATGACATGTTCCCAANGTTGAAGGGGGAAGGTGGAAAGGAAGCCGGAAGTAGGGGAGATGGATATCTGCATGGGACGGGAGTGTGCCAAGGTCGACCACTGCAGGGATGGAGGAATGGGGGGGTATAAAAGCTGTTCCAAGCAGAAATCCGGAGTAGTCCGAACGTGGTCTCCTTCATCACCGTGTCCGTCGACGTGATCTCAACCAAAGCCCCGCCCATCGTTCCTTTGAAAATTTTTAGAAATAGTTTTAGAAAGTGTTGCAATACTTTCCTTCCAACCCAATATATAAAGTAATGAGAACCCAAGGCTGGCTAATCAAGACAACCGGCTCCAAAAAATAAGATGATGGATTTTAAAAAAGAAAAAGGAGCCATTGGGATCTGAAAGAATAGCAGGATCCTCATCATGGGAACGGTCCTGCTCAAACCTCCGGTGTAGAAACATCTTTTTCGGTAATCCCACTAGAGCTAGAAGAAAATATAACTGTATAACTGTACGTAGAGAGTATAACTGAAGACTGGTGATTGAAAGAAACCACAGCTTAAGTCATTCTCAAAATCACCACAGATGCACAGATATTAGCTAGAGAATAACTTACGCTCATGCTGCAAGAAGGCAGCCAGTGCAATGTGTCCTGTGAAAAAGGAATTAACGATGCTCAGGAGAGCAGACAACATCTTGCCGACAGCTATGAAGAAATTGAGCTCCAGTGGGATCCTTGCCCGAAAAATATATCCACTATCCATGGCTCGATAAGCACTGTATATATATATATATACATATATAGTGTGACATAATTGGACCAGTGCATTATTATAATTTTTTTTTACAATACGAACGAAACGAGAACACGTTCCAATTAAGTTTTGAGTATTTCATTTAATCAATTGGAAAATTCTCATAATAGTGCATCATTTTCCATGCCCTGATATCCTTCCAAACCCAAAAGGAGATGTTTTCTACTTACAGAAATCATCCTAAAGTTCAAAGATATGTCGGACATTTCAAATGTTTTTATTCGAGACTGCATTGACATGACAGAAAATTAGAAAAATGACGTCATGGACCCAGAGGAGGATGAGGCAACTTTTACGCCAGTCCTCGACGTCTTCTATTTCATCCATGTATTCCAGACAATAATGAAGTCGCCTCTCCACGCTCCCTGGGGCTCCTTCCCATTATACGGAGGAATACTCCACCACCATGCCATGCAGACCTGTGAAAATGAAAAGCAAAAGAAACCATCGTAAGTCACAGGATCCTTTTAGGAACAGAAAGAGGGAGGACACGATCACGATTCATGTTAGGGAACTGGAACTTCTAGCAAAAACTAAAAAAGGGAGAGGAAGGATAGGGCGGGATGCTTAAATAAGATTTTCCGTGAATGTCGAAGAGAGAATGATTCCTAGGATTGGTCTAATCGCAATAATCAGGAGGCCTATAGCCCCGCTTCGCGGCCTCTTTCATTTCTCAAGTCATTACTCCGGAAAGTGATCCCCCTTCTCCATTGCAGTGAGATATATTCGCGGCGGTGAGATATACATCATGGCGCGAAGAAAGAAATTCACGAAAGATCCTCAGCTCCTCAGCAATATAGGCTCTAAATGGATATGGTACGATCCATCAATGAGCTCCATACATGGCGTCATTAGAGGAAAAGAGCTTTCTCCCCTCCAGAGAGAGCCACTGTTAGGGTCTTCATCTGCTTCAAAGATAGCGCAACCATCAAGGTGGTTAGTTCCTCATCGTCTACCGATGATTGCGACCAAAGGGTAATATGGCAATATTTCTCATCGTCTTCCTGAGAACCCTGATCTGAAGCTTTACACTTCGTAAATTCGCCTCAATTCGTCACACGAAAAACAAATCCTCAACATTTACAATGAACAATGCTACGGACTTACCTTTTGGTTGAGATCACGTCGACGGACACGGTGATGAAGGTGACCACGTTGGGACTACTCCGGATTTCTGCTTGGAACAGCTTTTATACCCCCCCATTCCTCCATCCCTGCAGTGGTCGACCTTGGCACACTCCCGTCCCATGCAGATATCCATCTCCCCTACTTCCGGCTTCCTTTCCACCTTCCCCCTTCAACTGATAACGAGTCCGTTGGCGAACGATTTCCTACTCTCTCATCTCTCACTGTCCCTATGGAAGGGAAGCCAAGGTCGACCAGTGCATCGAAGGAGGAATGGTATAAAAGAAGTTCCAAGCAGAGAAAGCAGTGCAGTCGTGGTCATATTCATCACCAGTTTCGGTCGACTTTAGGACTTCGGGCGACCGAACGGTAAGTTGAGTGCGATATGTCATGTACGAGGAATTATGGCGGGTTTCCGATGTTACGCTTTAGAGGTAAATGTTGCCATGAAGACGGGAACCGACGAGGATATATAGAGAGGATATCTTGTGCAACCAATACAAGAGGCATCTAACTGAAGAGGTATCTAACGACCCTGTCGGTGGTGCCGTCTCTGGAGGGTGTAGGAACTAAGGACCCTGTCGGTGGCGCCATCTCTGGAGGGAACGAAGAACTAACGACCCTGTCGGTGGCGCCATCTCTGGAGGGAACGAAGAACTAACGACCCTGTCGGTGGCGCCATCTCTGGAGGGAACGAAGAACTAACGACCCTGTCGGTGGCGCCATCTCTGGAGGGAACAAAAACACTCCTCCTTTAATGACGCTGTGGATTCACATCTGAACATATGCATTCCCTTGATTCTCCCGAAGACTTGAGAATATTGATTGCTTATTTCCTAATAACAGCATTGATGCAGAAACTTTTTTTCCGAGTTATTACGGTCCCTCCATAATGTTAGCGAAAAGCGTCTTTTCACGTTTAAATGCGGTTATTCAGAAGTCTTCCCAATTTGTCGCAGGAGACAACATGGAGAATAATGTCCGTGTCGATTAGGGGACGCATGTACATACCTTTCATTGCGAGGAAGCACCTCACAGTCCTATCGGCATTGTTAAATTCCTCTCATGTGGGATCTGAGGCCGCAATAGATCATCTGTATATTTGTCCTGTTTTTACGCTCGGACGGACGGAGATGCACTTGAAATCCGCTCAAAATACGCTACCGATTTCCTCTTGCACATTTCCTCTTCCTTTCCACGTTTCTTGGACAGCAGCTGGAGGTACTTATGAATTTTCCTTGCAAGGATTTTCAATGTATGTATATTCTCTTCTGGAGAAAGTGAAAATAATGTTTCTTTAAAGTGCTTGCAAAAATGCTGAAAGTTATGCTACATTTTCCTCGGAAAACGTTGTGCATGTAGTACACATTACGATCCGCGGATGTTCCCTTTTCTCTTACATCCAAGGACTCTAAATATGATCTCTCAGTCTTATGTTATGCTACTCAGAGCCAAAATCATTGCAATCTTCGGAAGACAATATGGCTAATCCAGGAGTCTAAATGCCCTATCTACGGGGGTCGTACAAACTTTGTAGATTTTCGAAGCAGGAGACGCTCCTTCGGACAGCTCTTACCCAGTTCAGCCTGGAACTGAGGCATGGATGATCGCAATGTTTTTACCTGAAATTTCTACCGCCAGCCAAGAAACGTGGTGCCAAACCCTGACTTGAACACACGGACAAGCGAATGAAGCACCGGAATGAAGTTTTTCACTACACCACCGAATCCAGGACATTCCGTCGCACCTCTCTATGCCGTCCCCATAACTACAAAGGGTCGAGGCGCGAAAGAACATATTGATGCTGTGCTTCATGCTTGGTTATTTCCAGAATTCTTCAGAATAGAAATGTCCAGTGATTTCTGAGTAATCGAATGAGATGTGGCAGTCCCAGGTCTTTATCTGAGTCTGTATGCAAAAAAGAATTAGTCTCAAATTTGTCGATTGCAGGGTTTATTATAGGGAAACACGGGATCATAAGAGAATCCACCCATTGAGTAAAGAACACCCCAAAACCATCCAGGCAAAATGTCTGAAGACTCCAAGTTGCTTATTGAGCGCCTAAATAGACACTTCTCCAAATTCATTTTACAGTTTCTCAGTATTTTCCAAAAACTGCAGCCCTCCATTAGCAGCATTTCACCTGAAAATTTCACAACGCATGCAGGTTAGATTGGGATAGAAAAGAGGGGAAGAAAGCGGGAACGGGAAGTGGGCACCCAGAGGAATCGGTTACAGCAAGAGAGAATCACGTTTCATCCTTTTGTCGAGATCCAAATCAATTCCTGTCACTGTGGTGGTGACCGCTGACATGCCTTTGGTGAACCTTTTTGCTCTTCCAAAGGAAATCATCGTAGTTGAGAGAGCCGTCGAAGTAGACCTGATTGAGATGATAAAACATGGCCTCCATCTTTTCCTCGAATTTCTTCACTTCCGGAAATTCCTCCTCTTTCTGCTCCTTCTGGACCTCGTGGGCCACCTTGTTGCCGCGTCCGTAGGGAGATATGCCGACGCAGATCCTCAGACGACTCCAGATGAACTCCAGCATCTCGTACTCGTTCGGTTGCTTCGCGATGTCGTTCTTCACGACCTCGAAGGAGCGGATGATGATGGTGAGCAGGATGTTGATCATGATGATGCTCTGCGCGATGGCGAAGAGAAAGAAGAAGATGGACGCCATGGTGTTGTCTTCCTTCATGGACTCGAACTTGAACTTGCCCAGCATCATGGAGAAGCACGTCTCCATGGCCGTGACGAAGTTGGACCATTCCTCCAGAGTCCGGTGGAAGAAGAGGTAGAACATGAGCCCGAATCCGATGAATACCATGCAGAAGACGAAGGCATATCCCGTCAGCTCCTCCCAGCACTGCCTAATCGTCGCCGACAGGATCCCGATTCTCTTGTTGAACCGCAGGAGCTTCATGAAGGTGATCATCGCCATGGAGCAGATGAAGGCCACCGCGTACCCAAAGACCTCGTCGATGATGCTCACATACTGCAACCTCACGTAATCGTTCCCGTACGTCTCGTCGATCTCCTTGAGGACCGCACCGGTGACGTTAGACCGAACGAAGTAGAGTCCAACTGCCGTCCACTCCACGATGACCATCGCCCCTTCCGCATAATTCCAGTACTCGTCCAGGTACCTCCTCCTCTGTTGCCACACGGCCTTCACCATCTGGTAGGTGTTATGAATGACGAAGAGGAGGAAGACGATCTCGCAGATGAAGACGAAGACCCCGAACCCAGTCTGGTGAGGCAGGAGGCTGATCCCGTCGAACCTCCACGATGGAAACATCCCTCCTCCCGGCAGCACCTCCGCCATGACTCGACCCAATCCGAACAGATTCACCTGACGGATTCCCCACCAGAACGGTGTCTTTCGTTATTGCGAACGGGGATCCCAGCGGGTACAAAATACTGGGATTTATTATTTTCATTTTATAATTTGATTTAATACTTCGAGCTAGAAAATGTCCACTTCTCATCACGTCAAGTACAACAAAGGCCAATTTATTTAATCGGCCTTGCTTGTGGTTCACATTAAAATATATGCCGATGAGCAAAACATGACATATTTTCCCTTCTGAATTCCATCTCGATCAAAGCAATACAGATCGCGGTTCAACCACCCAATCCAGTTTCCAGGATTTCAACTATGCTGCACTGTTGTCTCTTGCCAAGTATGGAAGCCGGAGGGGACCAAAAAACAAGCGATCTATCCTCGCAAAACATGGACTTGCCTTTCAAATCCCTACGCAGACTTTTATTATACCGGTGACGTAACAGGATTCTCCCATTGACCACATTTTCTTTCTCGCGGAACCGTGCCGATTTCGTCACTGAATATCCTGAACGTCTTGTTTTTTAAATTGCTCCTTGAAGAGAAGAATTTTCGCGAAATTCGGACCCGAGCCATTCAATTTTCCCACAGAACATTCATTCATCATTCATGATGAAAAAAGAACGATAGAAACCTGAGCGTTGTACGTGTAGAATTCGAGCATGACGGCCCTGGTGTGCTTGCTGATCCACTGCGCCCGCTGCAGCTCGACGAATCTGTCGGCGAGGTCCTCCTGTCTCCCGGTGATGCGCATGACGTATCCCCCGCCGCTGTAGGCGTCTAGGTGGCCCACGATCGGGTAGGCGTTCAGCTTTTCCGCTTTTGTGTACCTGGTGACGACGCGTAATCGGTGCATGTTGATGATCGAAGTAAGGGTCATTAGTACGAAGCCATTGCTCGTCTTTTGGGTTTGTTTCCCTTTTTATACGGGTGATCCACAAGTACGTATCAGTAATAAAAAAAATTGTTTCAAGTATGTGTAAATTTCAAGTAGTGGAATGCTACATAATTAGAGAGGACAACGTGTTTCATTCGGTTCGTCCCAGTGACAAAGACGGTCTTGGCTTAGGTGATCGCCAGTATGTGATATGATGGAATGATTACATTTGTTCTTTGCACCGTGCGTGATGCTTTCTTTAGAGCCACTCTGCACATCTCCTACTTTTGGAGCCTTATCCGTATCTCATTGATTGAAATTTGAAATGGAACCACGGTACTTCGCTTATTCTCTAAATGAGGCCTGAACATTTCTTTTTCACGTTTTTGCACGGGACGAAATGAAACTGACTTGAACTCCTCCCACGAGCACTCGGGACTACCAGCATCGGATATCTTCTTCGGTTTCCGCCAGGCCGTGCAGTAATTATCATGGTCTTCGTTGACGATCGTCGCAGTCGCCGCGCAGTGGGTCATGTTCCTGTCGAACACCCTCTTCGCCACTCTAAACATAAATAATGATAATTAATCATCCCCAGAGGGATGCGTCATCGGGAGAGGAAAACGACGCACGGGCAGGCATAGGGCCGAACTCGGATCTGCCTGAGGATCGGATACCCGAGCACCCGATTGGCCCCGTCGTTCATGTATCCCCTGAGGCCCCACGGCGCGTTCCCGTTGTACAGCGGCTGGGCCCGGACCTCCAGCAGCACCACGGCGTGCAGCCACTTCCAGAAGTCGTTCGCGTTTGACACCTGCAAAGGGACGTGGGCGTGTTGCGTGACGTGCTCTTCGGTGTTTCATCGAATTCGGGGTTGTAAACTGTGTTGTGCGTCGGTTACAGTCGTCGAGCAACATCATTTGGCGGATTTCATCGCGCTATTCCTCCGCAGTTTACAAAAATTCTAGGTTAAAACATCATCCAAATCATTCCAAATCGGCGGAAATCTTTGGATGATGTGCGAAGTGGGATGAAAAAATAAGGTTCCCTAATTTTTGGCTCCAAACTTATTTATTTTACCAACGAAGATATTATGTATACATACGAACAAATACGAGTACATCAGCAATTTCTCAATATAGTTGCAAAAATCATTCAAGCACTTTTATTATTTTGCGAGCTCTGATAGTGTAAAAAAAAAATAAGAAACCTTATTATTTGATATGCCTCGTATTATCCGCTTCGAATTACGATAAAACATAATAGATATGGCATGGTAATAAAACATGACGTTTAAACCCATTTCCCAAAATATTAATCACCCACCTTACTGAAGTCGATTTCCTCGTTCCCGATCCTGATCAAATTGGCCTCCATCGCCCGCTTCAGATAGAAGGCATTCGGATCCCGATTCCCGTAAGACAAGACGAGGATCAGGCACATGAAGAGGGTGTGGGTCATGATCTCCCTGAGGATGGCCCACATGCGTTTCTCCCTTTTGCGTTTCTCCCTGGCCGCCTCCAATTTGGCTCGGTCCATGGGGCGGTAGTGGACCTTTCGGGGCTTCCAGGTCGGATCTGCCGGGTTTTTAATAACAAATAACCCGTGTTGCTTCAATCGGTCTCGTTGCGCCCTTTTCCTTCTCCTTTATTTATTCTACTCATAGTATTATTTGAGCCCTTCCCTTTCGAATCCAGTTGACGTGTGACGAAATGGCAATGGGATTTAAACTCGTGATGATGCCGAAACGGCCCTGTGAGGCCATTAGTGAGGACTCATCCTGTTAAGTTTTATAAAGTTCTTTCGTATTGAATTTCAAAGATATCTCCTTGAAGGCCTTGCTGGGCCATGATTCCCTTATTCGGCGGGAAATTTTTTCATCATTTGTCAATCAGGACAAATTTTCAGAGATATTCTCCATTTCAAATTTTTTTCTTCGATTTTTGGATTTATGTTTGGATGCGGGAGACGCTAAAAGTATATACTGTATATTTCGTTAAAAACCTGAAACAACTTTAAATATTTTCTATCTTTATGATGTTTTCCCCTAATAACTTGATAAATATTGCCTTTCCTTAAAAAAAAAAATATGTTCACACTTTTTTTCAGCATTAAAAGACCTTTCAGGTAATATCTACTTTAAGGAAGGATCCACTCATCAAATTGGTTGGACCCTTCTATCGACCCTTATATTGAGCATACATAAACTTTTGCAGAATATTATAGTAAATCCCATCGCCTTTCAGAGATGATCTTTAAACTCGTCATCTGCGAACAAGTCATTTTCCCTTATTTATTTTTAGCACGGTTTTTCCCTCACCGGGTGCGTCGACCCACCGCTCGTCGTACGAGAGGGCAGGCCTCTCCTCTTCGTCGTCCGCGTCGTCGTCGTCGTCTGGCTCCACTTTGCACACTGCGCTCAGGAATATGGCCATGATTAAGACCTGAGAGAAGAGGAGGAGGCTTTTGTATTCGTTGGCATTCGGAATCGTCCGAGACGAATTCCGGGTACGAAATATTTGCTTAGAATTCGCTTTGAAATCTCGGGGAGGTACGCGGGTCGCGGATGACGATGACCATTGACTGACATATAGACACGGCATCGCTTCTCTCTAAGTTTCACTCTGTTTCTCTGTATTCAATCGATACCAGAACTTTAATCGACCACGCCGACGAGGTTCTACCGGGAGGGGGGGGAGAAGTGGAAAAATATGTTTTTAATTTCAGTCTGGAGAGGTCGGGCGCCCCTCCAGACTTAAATTGGAACGAATCTGAATTCGACAGCCCTTAATAACGCCATTGGCGGTCACCTTCATTTTCTTTTTTTCATTTTCTTTTCTTAAGTGATTTTGATATTCTTGCAGAAAAAGAGGCTTCTTTCGTCCGGATGCTGGCGTTTCTGAGCCTACCTGTGTCGGCTCAGAACTTTCGTCTGCATTCATAAGTATTCCAATGCCTAAAACCTTAGCCAAAAAGTCACGTGAGAAACTTGAAGCCTATTTGACTCTGGGAAATGCCCAAATATTGGCATCGTGCTTGTAAAAAGCACAACCACTTCAGAAGAATTCCTGAAAGCCTGGAGCCCCCAAAATTTCCCTGCTTCACGCGCGAATACCCCACCGCACATCTTTTGGAATGCTGCATCGTACCATGACGCTTTCGTATCCTTGAGGGACTGACGAATTCCCGAAAGGGCAATCTCGTAGCATCTACGACGAAAGTCGTAGCAGAACGAATCATTTTCTGGTTCTAACGCTCACTTCCCGAATTCCTGAAGAAAACCTCTGCTTTGAATGCTTTTCTGCTGATTCTTCCAAAAATCCTCTCGTTCATAAGCCGTACACCTTTTCACGAACGAACGTTTTTCAACGCAGATCCACGCCCTAAAAATGTTGATCCAGACCCGAATACCTTAATCCAGGCACGGATACCTTGAGAGGTTGGACGATGAGGATGGAGGAGAAGAAGGAGGTGACGACGGACGTGACCCAGAGCCTCGTCTTTTCGTTCCCGAACTGAATCCCGAAAGCGGCGAGAAAGAAAGTGCTGGTCCCAATGGCCCCGACCACAAGCGCCCAGGCGACGTAGCGGAACCACCACGGCAGCAGGAACTTCTTCTTCCTGTCGGCGAGAGCTCTCGACGTTATCTGACGTTATCTGACGTTACCTGACGTGACGAGAGGGGAAAGACGCCGCGTCGTACCGTTTGGCCATCAGATCCGACGGGTGCTGCGGTCCAGGGGGCGATCCTCCGTCGGCTGCGTCGTTCGGAAGGGGAGCAGGACGTCATTCAAACAATTTTACTCAACATGGGCATTGGGGTTTTTCGGTAACGTCAGAGAGCAATGGTCGTCTCTGCTTGAATGATTTCATCCATTTTTAATCAAAAAGGTGAATTCTTGTTTCATTCAACGATTCATTCGACTTCGATTCGACAAAATGGATTCGAAAAATCAAAGGAAATTGTGACTCATTTTTCTGAAACTCTGAGACCTGATTGCTCTCATCGACTGTCACTTCGTGCGCTATCGCATAAGTATTCGAGCAGGCGATTACGACTCTGAAAAAAATCCTGAATATAACATGATGTGGAAATTATTGAGAAGACTGGGACTCACCCGGCCTTCCGAGGGCGATGTCAATCCTCGAGGGCCGGAGCTGGCGTCGCCGCGCCTTGCGGAACATGGTCACGATCAGGGTCGCTGGGAAAAATGTGATGATGTTCGACATCACTCCGACTCCGATCTGTTGAGAGGTTTCGTGTGGTTTCATGTAGTTTTCCTGTCGTGTGGCCTTTTTTTCATGTGTGCAAGCTGTTAGCTTTCGTTCCGGAGAAGGTACCGTAACGTTATGGTTTCGGTGGAAATTCGAATACACGAGCAAAGAGGGTAAGAAATCGACAAAGACATAAGCAGCATGCGCACATTTCCGGACAAGCACGAACCCATTCACGGGCACGGCGAAGTCGAAGGCAAGAACACTACGGAAGAAGATATCGATTCGGTCTGAGGACCAGGATGCTGCCACTCCGGCAGCATCCTCTTCCATCTTTACTCCATCATTCTATAGTGCTAGGGATTGCATGGCATACGAAATTTTGGTTTTGTTCCGGCATTTGCGACGTTGCACCGATATGAAACCTCCATAGAAATATACACGGGAAAGAGAATCGACAAGTTAAGACAATGAATGCTTCCTGGTTTTGGAAGTCATGAGCTCCCTGTGACCGAAGACCGAGTCGTCATCGATCGTATAGGGAATTCCCGAGACTTCCCATGAGAAGGGGCCCCAGACGAAAGCTGCTCCAGTCAAATTCATTGAGAAAAGAGTGGAATCGAGAACAGGATCTGAGAACTGACCTCCTCCGGAGACAGCGTGAAAGGCCCAAAGTGGATCCCTCCTCCAGGCGGCTGGCTCCGAACCCGACTGTACCACATCGCACTGACGAGCATGGAGAGATAGAAGAAGGCCATGCAGGACGACACCCGCTGCACCCGAGTGAACCGGCTCGCCGCCGGCCGCAGGAACACCGAGAACCAGAGGTGCCCGTCGCGAAGATTCAGCTGGGAGTGCGTGCTGAACAGGTACTCCGTGTCCTGTCGCTGCTCCGCGCTCGCCACCGGCAGCAGTCGGTCGATCTGTATCGAGGCAATCGTGTCGATTCGCAATCGAGTCCGGAGAGCGTCATAACGAGACCGATTCCATGTGAGTCCATCACTGGGTTAATGGTTTAATTCAAGTCAGATCTAGTCATAGACAGTTTCAAGCCAGGGCTCCTCGTGAAACTACTGTTAACTTTACTGAATGCCATTTCCTGACATTCCTGGATCGATTCAGCAAATCGGATGGATTTTTCGAGAAGAAAGAATTCTGCGACAGACGTTGGGCTCTACGAATCGGTTCACATTGAGCTTCCCCCATTCAGAGTTCATAAGACCCAATACGACACACATTTCGAATAATGCGACCGATATGCAATGAGAGGCTGAATGAAACTTTTAAATTCACAGTTTTAAGTTTTAGCTCCTGCGCACAAACCCCAACTTTCCCAACATTCTCGATTTTCATTTTTGTTTCTTTTTTATATTTCCGGAAATCTTCCGGATTCCGGTCGACTCACCTCTCCATCCCCTTCCTCGACGGCGAACCAGGTGTTGCCGATGAAGTCGTACTTCTCCCCGGTCTGCAAGTCTCTCACCGTCATGTAGTTGAGGAACCAGGACTGGTAATTCCCTCGCCCGGAGTTGTCGTGCCAGATCCGCAAGTAATTCAGGGGACCCAGAGGCCTTTTCCCAACAAACAAAAAAATGTTAACACCCGCATATCAGGAATTAAATATAAAAATCAATGAAACCGTGAGCCGTCGTCACGTGACGGTCCTGACCTGGGACACGTCATTACGAAGGAATCTTTCGCCCCCTTCCGAAACACCGGCCTCGAAGGCTTCCCGAAGGTCCTCACGTCCGTCTCGTCGAATTCCCCGCTCAAGATGAACTGAATCCCCAAGGGCGGGAATCCAACGTCATTCGAGAACGTCGAAGAGAAATTAAAAAATTTGAATCTGGCCTCACCGAGACGACGGAATCGGTCGAGGAACTGGACTTATCCCCCGTGGAAACGAGGATCTCGTATATGTATTTGTCCTCTGGCTTGTTGTCCGGCAAGGGCAGCGATCCTATCTGCACCGAGAAATCCATGCGATGAAATTCCAAGTAAGCTAAGATACCTTGTACAAGTTCTTTAAGAACAACTCATAGGAATCAGGAAAAGGCTGAAGTTTATAGAATGATAATTATTTTACAGCAGGAAAGTCGGAATCGCTGAAAATCAATGGATAAGCCTCATGCATCAATTCGCTCTGTATCCAATGGATTAGCCCCATGGATTAATTCCATCTGTATTCGTTGGATGAGCCGGAATGATCAATTCCCTATGTATCCGGTGGATAAGCCGGATGCATAAACGCCTTCTTAATACTTACCGTTTTGAAGTCCAGCCTGTCCTGCCACCGGGCCCAAATGACGAGGGAGACGTAGATGGAGACGGTGAAGACGAGGGTGAGGTAGATGGTGACGTTGTCGCCGAAGCCGGAGTGGGCGAACACGTACACGAAGTCCACCTGGTTCGGCACGACGAAGAAGCTGCCCCCGAAGACGGTCAGGTGGGTCGCCGAGGCCCTCACCCTGTCCCACGTCGCCTCCAGTACCTTAAAGCGAGAGAGAAGCTATGCAGTCACTCCGTCATTTTGCCATGTCGTCATTTTGTCACTTCGGCATTTTGTCATTTCGTCAGTTATGAGATGAACAATTTTAAATCGAAGTTTAAAAAGATTAAGAACACATTTTTTACTCGAAATTCTACATTTCGATGTAAGATGAACGACTGAAATTTTTAAGGTGATTTTTTTTTCTAAAGAAAGGCTAAGAGTAAAGATAAACTGAAGCTGCAATGAAGGGAACTTGAGGAAAATGAATTGATTCACGGTCCGCATTAATCAACTATGAAGATCACGAAGAAGCGCATTCAGCAGTATTCCTTCGATGGCCCGCACTAGAGCTCAAGAGAAAATTAGCCCACATTTCGATATCCCCAATAGTGCTATAGCAAGCGATTAAAATCTTGGCATAAGCTTTACTCGGAACCTTTTTTCAAGAGGGAAAGGTGCGCTCTTGAACTCAATTCGTAAATATTGCCTACCTCAGGTATAAAGCAAGATCGCTCTTTCCAAGCCTGCGAAGGGAACGCGAGGGAACATTCCTCAAGAGGACACTCATCGAAACAACACTAAAAATGACGCTTAAAACATTCCACTTTAAAAAATGACTTTCCCAGGGGACACTTACGTGGATGCCATCATCCATGTACTTGTTGAGGGTCTCATTCCAGTATAGGACGCCGACGTCGACTGTGTGCAGGCAGTACGGAATGTCAAAGCGCTGCAGGTACTTCCAGGCCACGTCGTCGAAGGCGGCCCCCTCGAGCACGTCCTCGAAGGCGGCCCCCCCGAGCATCTCCTCGAAGGCGGCCTCCCCGAGCATCTCCTCGAAGGCCACGTCCTCCTTGAGCATCGAGACGCCGACGGTCATGCGCTGCGGATCGGAGCCAGGGCGCTCTTCGCTTCCTTCGAGGGAGGCGAGGATCCGGTACAATCCAGGTTGACCTGACGAGATGGAAGACAGGTCGAAGGTCTTCTCAGCTCCATTTTTTTCAGGAGAAACGATCTGGATTGATGTTTCTGAGAAAATCTTGAATAACGATTTGGGAAATGGAGTTTAATTCAGACTCGAGAGACTGTGGAATAGGACGATCGAAGAGTAATGAATTCTGAGCTGATAGTTTTATGGCGAGGTTCCAGTGCTTCCCCTGGATAACATTAGGTTCGTAGTTTTATTTTAAGGTAACATGTCTTTAAGAAGTACTCTTGCAATATGTCCTCCTGTTGGGTGGACCGCAGGGCAACACGAGGTTCCCATGGAACAAGAGTGAACAATTGGCATGAAGGCAAAAGTGGACTTCAGGAGGACCTGAAGGATAGGGGATGATAGCTCGGTCAAGATCCTCGTCCTAATCATCCCTGACTCTTATTTTTACAAGAGTGCTCTGGACTTGAAACGAATGGAAAGGAAAGTTCCATTATTCCATTATTCACCTAACATTTTTTTTTTTAATTCAAGTTTCAACGCGGCTTCTTTTTTTCTTCCGAAGGAAACGAACCCGGAAAAATGTTAGCGATTTAGCGGATCCTGCAGCGACCAGAGAGGTACTGGAAAACTCGCATTCTTCCCCCACCTTCGACATGACGGAGACGCCGAACTTGAAACGCCCCGGAACTCCGGCGATCCCTGCGGGAATCCCCAGACCTCGGCCCCCCGCCCGACCCGACGAGAATAAGGAAATTCTGCTCGTCCGCTGCCTCCGGAGGGATGGTGAACTCCAAGAAGAGACCTCGGTTCTTCGGCTTGGGGAAGGAGTGGAACACGATCGGGATCCTTCTCCTCTTCAGCGCTTCCGACGGGTTCACGTACGTGCACGCTGGAAGCAAGGATGAAAATTCAACTAGAGTACCAGCCCAGTTACAGATCTGGCATTCCACTGGTCCCTATACCACTGGAATCATCTTCGCCGTATCCTAATCATCCAATCTTGAAATCGTTAATAGCAGTCATCGGTACGGCATAGGTCTGTATAAAGTCCCGTACAATTAGAATGTTCTCGATGGTTCGCGTGTCTGCGTCGCGTGGAGATTGGAGGAGAGTATCGACTGTAGGATGCCAGATGCGGTTATTCACGCGTACGCTTAACAACACTGTATACGCAGCCACGAGCGGATTCTCTCTCCTATTATCTATTATGGTTCCATCATCCTCCGGGCCTGGAAGGGAAGTGGATATATTAGACGTAGGCTGGCACGCCGACCCAGACGTAAGGCTGCACATACGCAGTGAATCGAGTTGTCCTGTTGCTATCAATACTGCGGACAGACGGAATAAACAAAAAAAGTGAGAGACCGATCACAATATGTGCCATTTTCCCATAATATCTACGGAAATGGCAGATAAATATGCTAAAATATGGGAATACCCTAACTTTTCATCAATATGGAAAAAAGGCCGAGATTCCATATTCCCTCACTCCCGATCCCTGGGTTATGAGGTCATATGTATTCTATGTCCTCTTTATGGAATGGAACATGAGAAATTCTTAACGATTCATCATGGCCCCAAATAGCTCATCGTTTTCTGGTCCTCCTTTAACGTATGGATACATTCTCGGAACGATATTCTCATTCGAGAACACGAATTCTCGGATCCATTTTTGCCCCTCCCAGTGCCAAGAATAAAGCAAGATACACGGGAAAAGGCGCCTCTCACGTGGAATGTGGATTTCGGCGACCGGCAGCTCCAAGCTCATCGGGGAGTCCAGATGTCGGACGGGGATGATGGTCCCGTCGTCCTCCCTCACGTCTATCGTCACCGTCGGGGTCCCCCTCGCGAGTTCTGCGCTTCTCCGATCCCCGTTCTATCCCGGGGGAAATTCACAGCGATTTTTGAGGTTTTCGTAGAAACTTTCGTTTGTAACGTCTGATGTGCCTACTTTTACGACAGTCTACGGTCTTAGATTTATGTCGGTGGATTCGTGAGAAGAAAAAAAAAACCGCGTGCTTTGGACCAGACGACATACTCTGATGGTGCGAGGCGTCTCCAACACGGTCGTCGCAATGGGTCTGTCGCAGTCCGCCAAAGGACATCGAGGGAATAGTATATTCGTGCCTGAAGGGGTCGTGATGGGCTCCTCGAATGCGTCCAGTCCACGGACCCTGCCGTCGCGAGATTCGGTCAAACTCGACTCTAACATTCGAACTTTCCCGATGCGGGAGGGATATTTTTGCTCACTTTTTCGCTATGAGGGAGGAACCGTCAGGAGCAGTGATGTTCATCCCTTCCCCGACGTGGAGACATCTGACAACCCTGGCGATGGCCTTTTCCAGGACTGCGTCCACGGCCTCGCCGAGTCCCTGAGATTCCGAATGGGATCGATCTTGCGCGGAGCAACATCGCTGCGTCTCTTTTTTCTCTATCGGAAAAAAAAATCACAAACAAAATAGCAAGTGGACAAAAAAGGAATCGATCGGATTAACAGATTTATCACAGAGTCGCTCACTGAGAATAGGAAAATGAAAGTCCATCGGAGAGCAAAAATCCCAACGTTCTGGATCCACGTCGCAATCTCCATTCTCCAGTTGCCATTCCAACTCCTTCCGAAGAAAACGCAATTTTGAGCACAAATGCAAAACTATTCTAGAGAATTCACCGGTCTATCTGCGAACCACGGGGCGCAATATGGTCTCCTGTCAAGTGAGTGAGCTTCGGAGCTCATAAGTTGAAAGAATTCAGTGCGAAAAAAGTTTGTTGATTGATAATATTCTAAACATTTCTTCATTTAACGATTTAAAATGAGAAATATAATTTTTCTACAAAAAATTTTCCTTTAAAACGTAAAGTTAAATTTCAGAATCTAACTCCTTTTGCTAAATCTTTCAAATTCCTTCAACTTCTTGAAGCTTCCTTTCCTTCTACGCCATGACAGACTTTACCCATCGACCTCATCCGAGCCGACGAAAAAAAAACAGGCCTTTCGGGGAAAAAAAGATCGCACGGTCTCGCGAATGCGGGCTGACCTCCGCGATCCTGCCGCTGGCGACGATGAGATCGGAGAGGATCGGCGCCGCGTCGGAGGGCGAGGAGAAGGCGACCGCGTCCAGGAACGCCTCGATGCGCTGTGTTCCACCGGAGAAGAGAGTCCAAATGTTAGTGATTGTTTCGAACGAGGCTTCGTTCGTGGGGGTTTGCGGAACCGAGAGATGAGTTTCTTGTCCCTTTTTACATGCTAGAAGTCGTACCATTCATAGATGGACGAGAACGACTCGTTGATGTTTAAGTTCTCAATCTAGAGTGTCGATGCCCTTCAAAATGACGGCAATGCTACCATGGAAATGTTTCATGCACAGTATATAGACCTTTCCAGGAAGAAATATGTTGTGGTAAATCTGAGAGGGAAGCACGGACACAGACCGAAATGGTTTCCATGACAACTGCCACTCCAAAAGACACCTTTGCGTCTTTCCAGATTCCGGTTCGAGCGAGGAAGCTCGTCATCGCTCGGGCGGTCTCTATGGTGTCCGGGGTCCCCGGCTGTCCCTAAGATCATCAGCGGTCAAGGTCAGTGGTGAAGGTCAGTGATTAAGGTCAGGGATGAACGGGAACAGAGTAATATTTCTCGTTCTATATTGATATACAGGCAGTCGTCCGGTGATATGGTAGAAAACAGGAGAGACGACGAGACCGAGGTCAGGGAAATGAAAATCGTGAAAATCACGGCAAAGTCAAAGATGTGGAATGAGCAAAATGACGTAGGAAAGAATTTAGAGGGAAAAGGCGTATCTCCTAGTACGTTCAAGAAATCTGTGACTCCAAGAAACCTGTCATAGAGCGGAAGGTTACTTTCCCGTGCAGAAGACTGACTTCGTTAAGGTTTCCCCACCCTCTCTTGATCTTATCGCCGTCTCACACCACGACGAAGAAGCCGTGGAAGATCCCCCCTATTTAACCAATCTCGAGACCCTCCGCGAGGCAAACCCCCCGGGGTGGGCTCACTCGTAGACTGGGCTGCACTCGGTTCCACTCCGCCGCTTCTCGCACTCGATCGAGAGCATGGGAGCGCCAGGTGAGGGAGGCGAGCGAAAGGATTAAAAAGGAGAACAACAAATACTCACCGGTCAATAACCGGCATGCTTTACTGAGTTTGAATGGATACGATTGTACAATGGCATACACCGGTTCCGACATCTTCTGCGCTTAAAAACGAAATGAGACTGCACGAAAAACGATCCAGACAGGCTCATGTCTCCCTTCCCCATCCCCCAAACCCCCCCCCCCCCCCCTTCCTTCAGCCTCTGGCAATATTTTCACCGTGCTGACGTGTCACTTCTTGGACGATCTTAGATCCGAAGGTACAAACCTCATTTAGGGGAGATAAACGGGCCTTCAAACTAAAAAGCTCTTTTTCTCCCGCAGGAATCCATATACTCTTTAAAGACAGTTAAATAAAGGAGGTTTCAGCATTCAGGCCTTAGGCCTCATTCATGCCCTTTCTCTTTCGCAAGCTGAATGCTTGACGCAGTAAAGAGCACCAGTTCGTTAGCGTGCAGCAATCAGCTGCTCGTTGCTGTCAGCAGATGTACCTCTGTTTTACTCCTTGTTCCACTGCATTCTTACACGTAGAAATGGTTTCTAATCAATCCAGCTTTCTACGTTGCACAGAATTTTCCTGAGCATGTTGTTGCTGAAGCTGTTGTACTGAAACTTATTGCTGCATAGTAGGATTGTAGTACAGAAGGTGCGCATGCTAGATGGGGTTTTCCAGTACATCATGCAGTTTCATATCCGGTGAGGGTAGGGTGAGGGTAGGGTGAGGGTAGGGTGAGGGTAGGGTGAGGGTAGGGTGAGGGTAGGGTGAGGGTAGGGTATCCCATGCAAGCATCGGGATTGGGGCATCTCGACCTTTTACTCGAAACTCCCTTATGACGCAGGATCGAAGGGGAAATTTGCCAGACGAAAATAGGCAATCACGACGAATCGTTACTTGGATCCAGGATGAAGTGCGAAACGACTCACGTGGATTTGGCGATGGTCTTCCTCGTGATTGGAGGCGGAAATTTCCCCAGCGTCGAGAGGAGAGGACTTCTTCGGTGCCGCTGCGAAGAGGAAATGACGCGGCGTGGATTCCAGATCGAGGGGAGGGTCCGAGTCTTCCGTCGCTGCCAAGTCTCTGGAAGGTCGAGGTGAGGAGGGTCAGCGTGGCGCTTCGATCTCTCGTGCGTGAGTTTGTGATGCGTCGCGGACGCGGTTTTCGTTGCTGCTGCTGGTCTGGGGGCCGATGAGCGGCTTTTAAGACTCCGGCCTGATTTTCTGCCATTCCCATAGGTACTAAGTAAAAATGGCAGATATTGCGATCGGTCCCTCACTTTTTTTCATTCTTTTTTTTTCATTCCGTCTGTCTGCAGTAACCATAGCGACCGGACAACACCACACAATGCGCATGTGCAGCTTTCCGCTTGGGTCTGGGTGCCCGTCTTCCACGTAAACATCCACTTCCCTTCCAGCCCTCGCGGTTGACGGATTCATAGGAGACAATGGGGGAGAGCGGCTGCTCCCGGCCGCGTAGACAGGGTTGCTAAGCGTACGTGTAAAATGCCGCATCTGGCATCCTACACTCGATACTCTCCTCTCACCTCCGCGCGACGCAGACGCGCAGACGATTGAAAACACGTTTAGTTGTCTGGAACTTTCTATATGGGCCCATGCCGCACCGATAACTTATGATTCATTTCAAGGTTGGATGCCGAGAATGCGACGAAGATGATTCCCGTGTTATAGGGATCAGTGGAACGGCAGATCAGTACCTGGGCAGGTACTCTAGTTTTTATTTTGACCGGCTGGTATAGCTCCTCTCAAATGGAATCTCCATGGATTCGCGGGTGCTTTCGGCTTCAAAATCGCGATGGGCAAGAATTCTTAAGGTACAAAAGAACGAAGTCGTGCATTTGCCTCTCCCCGGTTTCGGCTCCGACAGGTTTCGTCGAAAATTGCAACACGTGCCACAGGATTCACTCCCCGGCAAATGCGATAGAAATACGGTACCTCGAGAAAGGAATGATGACCTCGCATCTGGTGCGCTTAACAACTATGCATTTTTTTACTCGACAGTAGCAGCTGTACTAGGGGAGCAGAAGATATAATCTTTTCTCGTGACGATAGGAAATCCTCATTTCCCTCATTTCCCTCATGCATTCAGGCCACATTGGTCATCGCACTAAACCATTGCTGTTCTCTTCCTCCGCTCCTAATTTCATTTTCGGTTTTGGAAAAATATTATTTGGAATCGAAAGAGCTGAATTGCGGTCGAGCCCAAGCTCTGGGCGAAATGGTTTTGTCGAAATGCGTCGTCTTTCATCCCGCTTCATTCTTGCACGGCTGCCACAACCTGCTTTTCAGGCTGCGCGAGTCAGCGGTCTCGTCCAGCGGTCTCGTCCAGCGGTCTCGTCCAGCGGTCTCGTCCAGCGGTCTCGTCCAGTGGCCAAGTGAATGGCCCTAAGTCACTAAATCGAATGCGTCTCGAAATCGTGAGAGTTGCATTTGGAACACGGTTTTCATCTCCGTGTTTCGGTCCGGATTTTATCTCATTCTTACGTGGTTGAGTCGGACTCAGCCAATTATTTAGACTCGATCTAAAACTTGGTCTAACAGGGGCAACACTTCGAGATCGCTTCGACCCCATGTAAAACGCATCTAAAATGTCCAGGAAAATGAATGGTGCAATAACTTTCCTGTCGGGAGTAGTACACTCTTAGAAAAAGGGGAGCGATTTTTCTCAAAAAAGAGAATAAA